AATGGATGCTCTGCAGTGAATGGGTGCCGTCAGAATGAGAGTCCAAACAGCTGATACAAACATCACAATAATCCACAAGTAATCCACACCTCTCCAGTCCATCAGTTAATGTATTGTAAAGACAAAAGCTGAAACAAATCCATCATTAAGATTTTTTAGCGTCAATTCTGGCCAAAATACGCGTTCATAATCCATAATAACACTTCCTCCAGTGAAAATGTCCATCCCCTCTCACATCAAAATCCACTCACATATTTGTTTATCAGCTGTTTGGACTCTCATTCTGACGGCACCCATTCACTGTACATTTTCAGCAAATGCTCATTTTTTTAGTGAATCATAACTTTAAAGCTGAAGTTGAAAATACAGTCAATTCTAAACCTGCAAATCAGCTAATGAGAAAAACAAACCCAAATAATTTCCCATCTTGTCAATCAGTTCTGAATTCCATGATCCATCATATTTTACTGTGACTGTACAGCAGTGATCCAGACAGCTTATCAGCTCTTTAAAATGCAAAAAGCATAATAAACTCCACTGCATGTGTGGATATACGAAATACGAAATATAATAAATATACTTTAATTTTCTGTAAAGCTGCTTTGCAACGATTTGCATCGTTAAAAGCACTATACAAATAAACTTGAATTGAATTGAATTGAATTGATATACAGTCTGCTTTAATGGTTTTCAACATCGTTTGATCATTGTTTAATGAGTTAGTGCTGCCATGATCAATGCAAAGTGCATAAAACATCAAATGAAATTCTAATTCTTGCTTTAGGTGGCTGCTAAAGGCACAATGTTAATTGCACCAGGCAAATAATGCTGACTTTAGTGAATACGGCACAAGACTCATTTGCATACAAAGGAATCATGTTTGTGCTGAAAAGAATGACAAAGACTTAAGACTCATGACGCAGCACTGCTCCGCCGCATTCAGCGCCTGCTTAAGCTTGAACAAAACTGTTGAGTGAATTCACACCTGTGGCTCTTTCAAACCACTGAGCGTCTCGACCAGCAATAACAGCCCAGACTCGACCAATGATGTGACTTTCTAAACAGCCAGAGAAGAAAACAGCATTAGATTCATGCTAAATAATGAGTAAGTCTATATTATTATTATAACTATGATAGTTTCTAAATGTGTTTAGGCTGCAGTGTTTTCAGTCCATGCTCTTATTATTGCTAATGGCAAGAACTACAGTAGTTATTTATAAGGACAAGTACACAATATAATAAATTATGATGATTTACAGTACCAGTAGGTCTCAACAGGTGGGTAATGACCCAAAAATTTGATGCAGGTCTGTTGGGTTGTGAACAGCAAAATAAAAGCAATCAATCAATAAATAAATAAATAAATACAGTACACACACACACACACAGATATATTTGTTTGTTTTTGATTAGGCACTTTAAAGCAGAAAATTCAGTGTTGAGATGCTTCAATGATCAATAATATTGATGAAAATATAAAAGTGCAATTATGTTAATTATATGCAATTATGTAATTAACCAACTTTGCATATGAGGACAGCTATATACACTAACATTCAAAAGTAAGATACATTTGAATGTTTTTGAAATAAGTCTCTTCTGCTCACCAAGGCTACATTTATTTGTCCAAAAATAAAGTAAAATCTGAAATATTGCAAAATATTATTACAATTTAAAACAGCTGTTTTCTATGTGAATATCTGTTAAAATATAATTTATTTCTGTGATCAAAGCTGTATTTTCAGCATCATTACTCCAGTCTTCAGTGTCACATGATCTTCAGAAATCATTCTAATATGCTGATTTGCACGGCATACTGTAAGAATGTTTTCAACTCAGGAAAAACCCTGCTGAATACTGAATACAAATGAACTGGTGACACTGAAACAATGGGATGGAATACAAGTGCACTAGTAAAATGCAAAATGAGAACCAGTGCAGGACAGGCGGATGATAAGTGGGGCAGTAGAGCAGGAAACACTGCAGAACGGGACGTGTCACTCAAACCCATGCAGCGCTGCATTTGCTGGAATAAAGAGGCAGTTCTGCATAAACACAAAACACAGGATCTGTGGGCATTAGGCTCTTTTACCACGGTGAGAGGATCTGAATGGATGCGACTCAACGGTGTGCATGATAAATAGCAGCACTTCACACTCATTACCTCTTTTTGTTTCGTTTCCTTTTGTGGCTATGCGCTTTTTAAGGCGACAGAATAAAAACAGACCTTATATGCTTCTGTAGGAAAACCCTCAAATCAATAACCTGATTGGCTCTTTAAAGTGATGGGCGGGACTAGTAATGATCCTCCACACAGCAGCTGTATTTCAGTGAGTTGAGTCCACGTGTGTCTGAGATTCAGTGAAAGTGTCGACAGCGCAGAAACTCCTCTTTATTCTATCCATTATTCACCTTTACAATAACACTTACTCAGCGCTTTAGTCAAAGTGAGCACTTCATCACACAGCGCTCGTCCCGCGTCACTGCATAACAAAACAACTTCCTCAGGTAAACCTTCAGCTCGGCACCTTATTTAACACCAGAAAAACTCAACAGCAGATCCATACGGAAAACTGCAGTATATACTAGTTTCTGAAAATAAAATGTACAACAAAATGCAGTGAGATCAGTGTGTGAACAGTGTTCATGCTATATACTGACATTGCCAATTGACACTGGTTCATTTGCACTACAAAACATTACAATGTCAACTTTAGTCATTCAAACTCACCCAAACGATAGTAGCAGCAGCGCTCGTCAGCTCTCTGCTTCCCTCATATTATCTTTGATGTGGGGTTAATAAAGGCGTTCAGCTTCGCTCTAGTCCACACTCATTTTGCACACAGGGCTGACACTAAAACAATGGAATGGAATACAAGTGCACTAGTAAAATGCAAAATGAGAATTAGTGTAGGACAGGTGGATGATAAGTGGGGCAGTAGAGCAGGAAACACTGCATAACGAGACGAGCGACTCAAACCCGTGCAGCGCTGCATTTGCTGGAATAAAGAGGCAGCTCTGCATAAACACAAAACACAGGATCTGTGGGCATGAGGCTCTTTTACCGCAGTGAGAGTATATGAATGGATGCGACTCAACATTGCGCATGATAAATAGCAGCACTTCACACTCATTACCTCTTTTGTTTCGTTCCTTTTTGTGGCTATGCACTTCTTAAGGTGACAGAATAAAAACAGGTCGTATATGCTTCTGTAGGAAATCCCTCAAATCAATAATGCGATTGGCTCTTTAAACTGATGGGCGGGACTTCCTGTCAGCACTGGTAATGATCCTCCACACAGCAGCTGTATTTTCAGTGAGGTGAGGAGGAGTGTGAGTCTGAGATTCAGTGAAAGTGTCGACAGCGCAGAAACTCCTCTTTATTCTGTCCATTATTCACCTTTACAATAACACTTACTCAGCGCTTTAGTCAAAGTGAGCACTATATCACACAGAGCTCCTCGCGCATCACTGCATAACAAAACAACTTCCTCAGGTCAACCTTCAGCTACTTAACACCACAAAAACTCAACAGCGGATCCATACAGAAAACTAGTTTCTGAAAATAATATGTAGAACAAAAGCTGTAATTGACTGAGTGGCATCCAGCTATCTTCTTAGAAATACGGTTATTTTATGTTTTGAATCCTATTTCTGCAAACATTTCTAAATGTTTTATTTTCATTTCAAGTCTGTTCTGATGGGTCATGATTTGTGAACAGCAGGATAAAAATCAATGCTAAATACAAATAATAAAATGCAACTATATAATTGTGCATAGTTGGAAAGGTAAAATAAAAAAATAAATAATAGAATTAAAAATAAATAAATAAATAAATGACTTATCCTAATGTACATATATTTCGTTGCTGATATCATGTGCTTTGAAGCAGAAAACTAGTAAATTCAAACGGCTTCAAATGCTAATTAATAATTCAGATGTTTTTATTTTATTTTATTAATCATTCATCATACTAGAGATGGCAGGTCAAGTCTAGTGCATTGCATACAGTATCAATGCATACAAATGAATGTGCATACTGTGCACAGTGTTCATACTATATACTACTGAAATAGTAAGAGTAGCATGAGAGTAAACACATGTATTGGTCTTTTTGTACAAGAAATCATTACAAGCTCAACTTTAGTCTTCCGAACGACAGCAGCACACATCAGCTCTCTGCTTCCCTCATATTATCTTTGATGTGGGGTTAATAAAGGCGCTCAGCTTCGCTCTGGTCCACACTCATTTTGCACAGGGCCCGTGGGTTCACATGGGGCACATGTAAAGCCAATGAGAGCCGCTGCCATCCCATATTTCTTAGTTATGGACAGCAATGTTATTTGAGTTCAACCTACAGCCCTTCAGCAGAGGTAATAAGCCTCACAGCGGAGCTGCTGTTTCTGCATGGAGTGATAGGAATGTCATCTGCCCTCGCCTCAAGCCTGCAGACTCAATGGGAACATGGAGGAAACGTTTGTGAAATGTGTTTTAGCATTTGAGAAAAACTGTAATTTAGTTTAACGAAATAAAAATGAATAAAAACTAGGAATAAAACTAGGAATAAAATTCCACACAATTGTCCACATGGGGAAAAAAAACCCACACTAAAAACAAAAATCTTTTAAAATATAACGGTATAATGTACACTGAAAAAATTGACAGAAATTTCTCATTACAAAGAAATGGCAAGTAACACATTTAATTAAATGTTTACATTTGTTGAAGTTATTAAACAGTTACTTTTACCAGTGTTATTAAATTATTAACATTTAAAAATGTACTTTAAATAAGCTTTTCATGATAAGAAAGGTCATCGAAGTGTAAAAATAGAAGAAATGAGCATGCACAATTAAATATAGAAAACTGGAAACTGGATATTTAATTGTTCATGCTCATTTACCATTTTTTTACATTTAGATAACTTTTGCCTAATGCTACTTATAATAATAAAAAAAAAAGTCTAATATTGGTCAATGAAACCAATATATCACTGATATATGCAGCCCTAAGTGATGTTAGAAATTACACACTTCAGCTTTAAATATATGTATATGTATACACACACTTGTATATATATATATATATATATAATATATATATATATATATATATATACACACACACACACGCACAATTTTTAAATGAATTTAAGTTTTTAATTAAAAATAATATTTAATATTTTTCAAATAATTAAAAAATAGAAATACAAAAACTAAAAATTAGCTGTCTATCTGGGATATTGTTCATGCCTCAAACGATGCAGAATGATCGCTAACTCTGTGCTGCAATAGCTTTGCAAACATCACAAAAAAAACACAATAAGCCGTTTAAACAAACAAACAAACAAACAGCAACCCCAGAAGTCTTCAGCGCCGAACAAGTATGACAGACGAGAGCGGGACCTTTCAGAATGTAAACGAGAACCCAGAGGCGACGCAGCTTTCAGAGACAACACATCTACATCTGCATCGAGTGTCAGAGAAGACAATATTCACTTGAGACGTAAGTGTGCGTGCCACGGGTTCCCCTTCATTTTCAATAGCTCGGTCACAGCGGTGCATTTAGCATCAAACACACAGAAGAAAGAAATTGCACTGTCACAAAAACAGCCTTGTCTTCAGGAGATTTACTGCAGTCTCAAAGCAAAAGAAATCCATTCCTGCATCAAGCCAAATGAAGCAAACATTCCCTGACATGAAACACACAGGTCAACAGCACAGAGAACACGTTCACAATGAATCCTGCAGTATGTACTAAACACAGCCTACTATTCATTCAAACAGCATGTCAAACAGTGTGCAATACGGCCATTTTGCAATTTTAATCCAGTTTTGTGTAAAAAAAATCTCATCTTTGGCAGTCTAGAAAGATTGCACAATGTGTACAGTAAACATACTATATACTAGTTACAGCCGGGCCAATATTTGGCCATTTTGAGATTATTGGCACTGGTTGTTGTACTTGGCAGAACAGAAGCACGACATATCGCCAAAATCTACAGACAGCCTTGTCAAATGAAAATAAACAATTATATTCTATAAAATAAGCATTTCATGTCAGTAATTTCATCTAATTTCCAAACAGTACAAGCTGTGTCAAATTCATATAGAATTTCTAAACAATTTTCGCACTGTACCAAAGTACATATGTATTCTTCTCTTTTATTCCCTTATTGCATTTAATAAATGTAATTTAGTTCCATTTTTATTTTTATTGTTAATTTTTTTTTTTTTCTGATTATTTTTTAAATGTTTTATGTAAAGCACTTTGAATTTCCATTGTGCATGTATTTAACATTTAATTTAAAAGGTCATTTAATTGCCATATGCTTTAAAAGAAAATGCAACTTCAGTCATTATACTTAAAAAAATTATTAATAATAATAAAAAAAAACACTAAATTTTTTAAATGCAACACATAAATTATAATGTACAAAGATTGATGTTTTGTTAAATAAACATTTGTTTACATGTTAAAATAATTACATTTACCTCTGTTAATAAATTATTAAAGGTTTAAAAATGAACTTTTGCACAATGAGCTTTTCATGATAACAAAGGTGATTTAAGTGTAAAAATATGAGAAAGCAGCATGCACAGTTAAATATCCAATACTGGAAACTGGATATTTAATTGTTCATGCTCATTTACCTATTTTTTACATTTAACACGCGTAATGCTATTTAAAAATAAAAAAATATAATGTTGGCTGATGATATAGATATATCGTGCAACCCTAAGTATTGTTAGTGCCACAGAAATTACACACTTCTGCTTTAAAATGTACCTAGTATTTTTTAATTCATACAATTTTTAATATTTTAAAATTAATAAAAAAAAAATAATATTTTAAAATTATTTGAAATTATTATTTTTTATTTAAAATAACATTTTTAAAATACTTTTAAATTAAATTAAATAATTTAAAAACAACTCTCCTTAACAAGCTGCACAATTTGAGATATCATACATGTCACAAACGGTGATGCAAAAAACATTTAAATAAACAAATAAACAGAAACTTTAGAAAGCCCACACTGCAAAAGCTCTACAAGTTGTATGTCCATTTGAACTAAACTGTGAACAAAAGTTGCATTTGTTACGAAGCAGAAAGCGATTCATTGCGATTGATCAGGTGGATAAATATTTAAACGAGGGCAGTTTCTCCCTGAGGCTCATCATCTGCGTCTTTTAGCGAATAAGTATTCAGCGCCATTTCTCTGGCTAATTAATCTCTGTATTTAGGTAATCAAGCTGAACGCATATATTTAGCGAGGAAGAAAATGGAAAGCGGAACGATTTTGTGAGTTCACATAAAAGTGTAATTGCTTACCTGTCGATGATCCCACACATGTCCATCTGTAGATCGCTAAAATTCCCAAACAGCATCTGCTGCACTCGGATGAGATCCACTAAATGGTGTGCGGTGGTGTTCTGAATTGAGGAGTCAAAAACCTTTTATTTATTTATTTTTTAAATATCAAATGTAAATTCCTATCCCAGTCACATGTTCTTGGTTAAGTAAACATTACTTACACTACCAGAAAACAACAACAACAACAACAAAAAACTCTTATTTTATATTTTTACATGAACAATGTAATCAATAGTCTGTTTATTAAAGCCAAGTGAATCTAATCAAGTTAGTGTTTTTAAGCATTTAAAATTTATTCCAAAAAATGTAAACAATATATATTATTTGTGAACTTATGTTCAGCTATTCTTTTTAATCGTTAACTTTTAACTATTTTTGAATTATTCGGTTCATCAGTCATCAAAGCTCAGTAAATACTGGTCACAGACACAGTGTTACGTAATGGCTACGGAGGTGGAACGAGGAGACGAGGAGACACAGGCGTAAACTCAAAATACAGTCTTTTAATCCTTGCTTCGGGGAAATACAGGGCAGGCAGACACTCACGTACCACATAGGGGAATCAACTCAATAGCAGACAAAGGAATAATGGAGAACACCGGTTTTAAATACTGGAAACGTAATCAGGGAGAAACAGAAACAGGTGTGGAGCTAATTAATCAAAAACCATGGAAACAAACAAGGCAGGAGAAAGGAAACACAGAAAACCAAACCAAAACAGATCATAACCATAACAGTTCGCCCCATCCCGGAACGGCACGTCCGTGCCAGGGCGGAGTGGATGGAGGGAGGAGCCCGGAGCAGGAGGAGCCAGATGGGAATCCAGAGGCCAGCTAGGATAGTGGCCCACGGTGGAGTCGAAGGCGGGAGGAGCCATGGTGGAGATATGGCTGACCCCACCAGAGGGCCGACTGACGGAGACTGAGCTGATGGAAGAGGAGCCCATGATGGAGCAGAGCAGACGGAGAGCCAGGGTGACACTGAGGATCCGGAGGGCCAAGGCGGAGCTGAAGGCTCAGGCGACCGAGACGGTGATGCAAAAAACATTTAAATAAACAAATAAACAGAAACTTTAGAAAGCCCACACTGCAAAAGCTCTACAAGTTGTATGTCCATTTGAACTAAACTGTGAACAAAAGTTGCATTTGTTACGAAGCAGAAAGCGATTCATTGCGATTGATCAGGTGGATAAATATTTAAACGAGGGCAGTTTCTCCCTGAGGCTCATCATCTGCGTCTTTTAGCGAATAAGTATTCAGCGCCATTTCTCTGGCTAATTAATCTCTGTATTTAGGTAATCAAGCTGAACGCATATATTTAGCGAGGAAGAAAATGGAAAGCGGAACGATTTTGTGAGTTCACATAAAAGTGTAATTGCTTACCTGTCGATGATCCCACACATGTCCATCTGTAGATCGCTAAAATTCCCAAACAACATCTGCTGCACTCGGATGAGATCCACTAAAGCGCCGCCCGTCCGGATGAGACGCATGCATCCTCGGAAAACATTGAACGGGTTTCTGCAGCTGCCATCTTCTGTGTCCGGACATCCTGAGCACAAAAACAGTCAGTGGTCAGGACGTGTTTTCACAAATACACACAAAATAACACGTTTAAGCTATGGCAGTGTTATTTTAATATCAATATTATACTTTGTAATATCTATTTCATGCTTTTCTCATGCAACACAATAATGACTTTAAATTATCTTTTGTGGGTAATTTCTCAGCCAAATTTAATGTGCAATTCATATGTGATTAATTAGATTAATTAATCGCCACATTGTACATAACCAGTCATATCCAATCATATCGCAATGGAGGCATTGCCTACTCTCACGTGATTTCCCCCATTCATTCTCAATTAACCCCCCACCAAACTCACAACACACTTTAGGGGGTCTGTTAAAACTCAATGGGCTCAGGGGAGGCGAGAGAGACACGGACTCCTGCTGTAACTTTACCTGCTGGTGTCGCTGTTGGACAGTGTTTCTTTAGAAAAACGAATGATTTAACAGGCACCAGCGGAGATGGGGCTGAGGAACTGACTGGTTCTTTAAGAGGAGGCGGGAGAGGGAGGCTGGGAGGGGACACTGGAGGACAGGAGCTGGACGGAACCAGCGGAGACGTAGGAGAACTGGGTAATGCCTCCCCAAACCAGTCTATTAAATCCACTTTGAAACAGTCCATTAGTTCCTCATAATGTAGTCCAGTGACCAGTTGCAGCTCACCCTCAGCGGCGGGAGTGTGGGCGGGGCTTCCCTCCAAGCCCTCGATCTCCACCAGCACTCCCTCGGGTACGGGTGATGTTGCCGGCTCACGCACCTGGTCAGAACGGTCTTGAAACTCATGCTCCTGGGCGACGATCAGCTCAGTCGTGGTTTTGCACGCTGGCTCTCGTGTCGCGGTAGGCTCAGGCTCTCCATCTGCGGTGGGCTCAGGCATCTGCTCCATGCAGCGGGATGACGGCTGGCTGGTCTCTGGTTCGTGAGTGGGGCTGGAGATGTCCTCCTCGGCGGGGCAGACGGAGAAATACAGTCCATTTCTCTCCAGCACCCACTCCACGAAAGCGGCGAAATCCTCCTTGGGACAGTTCGCTGGTAGGCGTGCCTTACACCGCTCGCTCAGGCTTGTGTGATAGAATATGCAGAGCGAGCGATCCGGGAAGTGTGTAAGGCACGCCAGATCTACAAAGTCCCTGGTATGGTCCTCCAGCGAACGGTCCTGTTGCTCCAGGCAAAGGAGTTGAACGGCTGGGATTGCCATTCCGGAAGAGGGGAGAAACAAAACATGTGTGTGTGTGTGTGTGTGTGTGCATATATATATATATATATATTAGGGCTGTCAATCGATTGAAATTTTTAATGTAATTAATCACATACTTTTGCTGTGATTAATCGCGATTAATCGCACACTTCATGAAATTAAGCATAGACCATTTATCTT